GTGGTTTTAACTGGTTAAAATCCAGCAGTACCCCCAATGCACACTTGGGTCCCCAAGCCATGGCTTTCGCCAAGCTGGTCCTGATAATTGATTAACCACCTACACATGCATATTCCTGTATCTATTCCAGATACAATTTCTCGTTTGGATACTCTTGAGCACGGTGATTGGTTTCCGTCTAGTGTGTCGCGTACCTGACTGACCAAAACAAGCCATTGGTTCAGATCCCTTGCTCAGTAAGTACAGTACTTGCAGACACTTCCCCGGTATTATTAACAAAAAGCATTCTTAAAATGTGGAAGATTCATTTGGTCCCATCAAAATTAATACTGATTCCCAGACTCTTAATTCTTGTTTAGTCAGATACAGTAGAATTCCTGATCTAGATAAGAATCTTGTCCATAATTAATGGTTGTCCATAATTCAATGCTGATCACACTGATTCTTTTAAACCCATGTTCTTGTTTATCAGCTGATGAGTTAAAGATGGTGGTTATATTTTATAGCAGTTCTGATCAGCATAAACTTTAAGAAAAGCTGGTGTCTCTCAGCACCTATTAGAATTAACTGTACTTTTGAAGTCGCAGCAATGTGTGGGAACGAAACCTTAGTACAGTAGATTATGTATGAATCCTTTATCTCTGGGAAACCACATAAGTAAATGTTAGGTTGGCTCAGTTGATACGTTATTGTTCCGAGTCACATGTCAGGTACCTCTAGGCTGACACTTAAGTGCATTACAGAAATGTCCTCAACTGATGGGTCATTTTGTAAACCCAATGACAGGTGGAGCGCAAGGGGCTTGGAATTTCCAGGTTCCAGGGAAGCAACAACAACAACAAAATTAAATTTGTAAAACATCTTTCTCATCGGGAGGACGTCCCAAGGCACTGAACAGTCAGGATCAGGACCCGATGTAAGGGTTGGGATGAGGGAGGGCAGAGAGGTAGGAGGTTGGCTGAAGGCACGGTTGAAAAGGAGGGTTTTGAGTCGTGCCTTGAAGGAGGTAAGAAAGGGAGCAATGTGAAGGGATTGTTGGATTGAGTTCCAAAGAGTGGGGGCAGAGATGCTCAAAGCCCGGCCACCGGCTTGTTGGGCAGGAGACGTGGAGCAGGCCGGAGCCTGCTGAACAGAGGGAGCGGACAGGTTGATAGGGGGTTAGCAGGTCAAGGTTAGTTGGGGCAAGGCCATGGAGATCCTTGAAAGTGAGGACGAGGATTTTGAATTCTATCCTCTGCGAGATGGGGAGCTGGGTGGAGGTGGGGGTGAAGGGGTCACGGAGCCTGGTGTGATGAATACGTGGTGGAGGGCATTTAGAGTAGAGAAAGATGGAAAAGCACCTGGGCTGCTCTTACCACACTGTTGTCTGCCAGCCTCCAGCCCTTTCCCTGGGAGTGGTTGGAAAACTTGAAGGGAATGCAAAAACATACATTTTCAAAAAGTCTTTAACTCCCCGCAACTATAGGTGGCTTCTAGAATATTTTGCACATGGGTTAAAAACGTGGCATCGCTAACCCAATAAACGTTTTTTTAAATACAAACTGGAAAGTGTTTTTGTATGAGCAATGGTTGTATGCTTACTGTTTTTTATCTTTACATTTTTTTTCAAACATCAAACCGTTGACCTTCTTATTTCCCGTTATTTGGGGGTTTAGATTTGTGTGGTGTTTGGTTTGTGTGTAGACTCACACTGCACCTACCACTTTCGTAACCCAACTCCTCTTCGCCCAGCCGGCCCCGGCCTTCTGTTCACCCCTTGTGTCCTCCGCTCCACCCTGCCTCAATCAGTCTGCCTTGCCCCCTCTTGCCTGTCTTCAGATCATATTTGAAGAATTTCCTCTTCGACCATGCCTACCAGTCACCTGCCCTTTCTCCCTGGCTTGGGTCAAGCTCTGCCATTAAGCGCTTTGAGACACTGAAAAGTGCTATATAAATGGATGTTGTTGCTGTTTGCTGTTTTGTTGGTTGCTTTACAGCTACAAGCTGAGCACTGAAGGGAGTCTCAAGCACTGAGCCAAACAATAGTTGTCATAAACCTTACTTCTGACTTTGAGAGTTAGTTAGTTGCCCAGTTTATGCTGGAGCATCTATTTTCTGATATGAAATACTGATGGCTTTTCTTTCCTGTGTGAAACCTGACGCTTATTTTCCCCTCACCATTCAAGACACCAGTTTCAGTCACTTGAATGAGGCACGTATTATTATTTTTATTTTGCACCTCCAGTCACATTGCTTACCTAGAGTTTTCTGTCGAGTTTTGGTGGTGGTGATGCTGTGAGGGGGTAAGCCAAGATGAATGAGCACAAGGTGTCCCTGCCACAAGGTCAAGAAACTTAATTAAAAAATGAAGCAGACATTTAAATGGGGGAGAAGAGTGATCGATGGAGTGATAATTTGCAGCAAATGGGCTTTGAATCTCCTTTTAAAATCAGGACAAAATGGAAATCCTGACTGACTCAGCTTTTCCTTTGTGCAACAGATGATCTGAAATGATGCACTTGTATGCATTGTTGGGTGGTGTGTATAACATGTTATTGTACATTTGACTTATGTTACCCAGTCCTGGGAGATTTGACCTTGCCGTGATTTGAAAAGTACAAGTACACTGCAGCAGCCGAGTTAAAATGAAGGTTAACTTGTAACTCCTTGGTTAGAGCAGCCCACGTTGCCACTTGATTACATACCTGTGGGAAAGGCTGGTGTTAATCATCACTCCGTGACTGAAATGTATGGATAGCACTGTTTTGCCTTGCGCTTCAGACCCTGTTGATAGACAGACAAAAAGAGTTTTGATGCCCTGGTAAACTGAAACCGTTCAATTTCTCGTACTAACTGACGAGCATTGTATAAACCTCATGACTTGCACACCACTGCAAATCTGCCCTGGGCAACAACACAGAAACTTGGTGACAAATCCAAAGATTTTTTTTATTTCGTCAACTTGGCAGTGTAGATTGGGATTGTGGTGAGAAGACTTTGGCTTGTTTTGGATTCAAAAGTGAATCAGGTTGCAAATGTCATATTAACAATCCACTTTATAAACAAATTTCACTGACACAATTTTTACACTGAATCCCAAGTCTAATATCCTCTGGAATTAGGTTTGATTTTGTACCTATAAGGCTGAAATATTTTAAGCACTTTACAGGTAAGTGCTTCCAGTACAGACTTTTGTTGCAGATTTGGTAGTCAGTTTGGGCAGAGCAAGATTCCTCATGATATTACTCATGGAAGAGACTAATCTGTATTTGTGTCATGGATTTTTGGATTACATTTTGCGATTTTTGGAAGAAAAATAAGACTTGTTGCATTTGATAAAGCACCACATCAAATCGAAATGTTGGCAAGCGTTTCACGTATTTCTAGATGAATCTCCCTTGAGTATCGCTGGATCTCACAACCAGCAGGTATGACTTTGGCTTGAAGGATCGCACCACTGACAATGCAGTGCACCCCACAGCACTGCAATGGAGGGTCAGCCTGGACGATGAACTCAAGTCTCCGCCATACAGAGACTAGAATTGTGCAAGGTGCTCCAGGTGGGGTCCAATTAGTGCTGTGAACAAGTTCAGTATCCATTCCTGTAACGTAGCATATCCCATTAAAAATTAAACAAGTTTACCAAGCGATGACACACCTGGTAACTGGGTGCAGTATAGGGCTGTGCCCTATAGGGATTCCTCATCACTGATTTACAAGAAACTTACAGGGAGCAGTTTAAAGGGGTGTCAAAAATTTTAAAAGCAAACATTCACAGTATTCTCCCTAAGCTAAGCAATCAGCTGTAAAAGTGCACAACATGAAAAATTGCGATGCAGCTGAGGAACCGGGTGGCACAGCATGTAAGAATACAGACCATTAACCTTTGATGCTGCAGTTTGAATCAAACCCAGACCAAAGGTGATGAAGGTGCCTTTGTTATGCTTGTTACAGTGTGTTCTGTACAGTATTTGCTGACCCTGCCAACTAGTGCTAGTACTCCATTGAACGGGGATGTAACACTTAAATGAGTTTTCTATTGCTACTCAAATCTGTGCACTTTTTTGCTTCAAGCTTTCTGTGGAATGATGGCTAATGGAGTTTTGCCTGTTGAAAAGCACCACTTTGGATGAGAGAGTGATTCATTCTAGAGTCGCCGATAACTTGTCCATTTTGTATGGAATCATAGAATCTTACAGCACGGGAGGCCATTGGGACCATTGTGCCTGTAACCGGCTCTTTGAAAGAGCTATCCAATTAGGCCCACTCACATGTTCTTTCCCCGTAGCCTTGCATTTTGTTTTAATTTCAAGTCGATATCAAATTCCCTTTTGAAAGTTATTATTGAATCTGCTTCCACCACCCTTTCAGATAGCGCAATCCAGATCGTAACAACTCGCTGTGTTAAAAAAAAATTCTCCTCATCTCCCCTGTCATTCATTTGCCAATTATCTTAAATCTGTGTCCTCTGGTTACCGACCCACCTACCAGAGGAAACAATTTATCTTTATTTACCCGATCAAACCCCCTTATAATTTTGAACACCTCTATTCAACCCTAACCCTAAGGAGAACAATCCTAGCTTCTCCAGTCTCTCCACATAACTGAAGTCCCTCATAATTCTGGTAAATTTCCAAAATTATAATTGTCTAAGTGGTAAAACAGTGATTGATGAAAATGTGTTGCAGCAATTTCCATGTGCTTTTCTTGGTTCATAATAGTTCACAGCACCATTTTGAAGACTGGGGCAGCAACAGTAAGTTGAGTGTTGGTATATGTGGGTGCAGTAGAGGAGTAAAGCTGTGGGAGGCACTGATTGAGGTATATGTTCAGGGTGAGTAGTGACGTACAATGTAACTGCCAAATACCTTTCTTGTCTTGGGAGTACTTCATGATATCGTAAGGTAAGAAGGTGTTTAACGGTACTGGGCAGGTCATGGTGGGAAGGCTTGGTAAAGTGCGCATAGCAAATTTGCCAAATGCTGACAGTTTTGTTCAATTTGGTTTTTTTTCAATTTCAGGTACTCGACAGGCCTCATTCCCACAAAACAGGGCCTTCACCTTTGTGAGTACGTGTCTGCATCGGCTTTCTGCAGGTAGGCAGTTACTGCATGTCCACACACAATTAGAATTAGGTACAGTAATCACCAAGTTGGTTCTCGATATTGTTTGTTACTGAAGCACTGCACAGTGTATCTCCTCCCGTAAGGCTGTGTTGATCCGACGGCTTTCCTCCTTTACAGCTTATGGCAATATAAAATAACATTGCCAGTGTTGGTGAATCTCATTTGAGAGTTGGTGCTGGAAGGTTATCTTGACTGAAGGAACCTTTGAACTTGCGGACTGCAATTGTCCTTAATGACCATGGGGGGGAAAATGTCAGGGTTCCTTATCTGAGAACAATAAAGCTATGCAGGTCCTTAATACCATCTAGAATCCATTGTGTGTGTGTGTGTGTGCATGTCAGTGTGTATTTTCAACCTTATGTTCAGTGGACAGCAACTGGTTGGTGGGATAGAATCTTGTGTCTTTGAAGCTTGCACTTATGATGGGAGTTTCCCTTAATCACAGGAAATAACTTTTTTGGGCCTGTACTTCGACGAATTCTGAGCTCAGACTGTCTTGACCTCCACAATCTCAGTTTTAAAAATGTTTTCAGACAGAATGAGCCAGATTATTTATTTGTGGTGAGTTTGAATATTCTAGAAAAGGCCAGAGTCCAGGTTTGTGTGTTCATGTGCCAATAAGGCTTGCACCCATGATTCCTCACACTGGGAGTTCATGATCTCATGGGAAGGTTGATCAGGAAGCTTGATGTTTACTCCGAGGGAGGGGGAAATCTGTGGCACTTGCATTGCCAAGCAGTTGACGTAAGAACAACATTTTCAGATGTTTGCAAGATCGACTGGAATACTTGTGCCTCTTGGAGACCTGATACTCAGGTTGGAAATTGCTGAGCAGCATTCCCACACTCTGTATTTCAATCATACTGAACTGTCTGATTATGTGAAGGAGTTGCCACACCAAGTCCAAAACAGCAACTTTCATTAATTCTGTAACCTTCACATAAGATAATGTCAGAGCTTCACAGGGATGGGGTTGGACGTTGAGAAAAGGAGGAGAGGTAGGCGATATAGGTGTGCTCAGAAGTAGGCTTTCAGGCAGAATTTTAAGTCAATAGAGAAGGGCCGAGTTGGAGGGGTAGAGGGAGGATGTTCCAGAGGTTAGCGGTGTAGTGGATGAAAGCTGCCACCAATGATAGAATGGGGGGACAACCTTTTCCACATTTTCAAACTTCATTTCAGTCAAAATGCAGATTTGCTTTATATTTTCATTGAACTGCCTTTTTTCATCTACGACTATAACATAATGACAAGAATCTGTCTGTGACTCAAATTTAATTTCACATCAGGGTTGTAGAATGAAATGCACATATCGTCCAGATGGTAGTTAAAATGGAAGTAAAACTTTACACAGAGATACAGTGATATGGCACAGAAATAGGCTATTTGGACCCACTCTTTTTTTCCCAGAAGCCCCCACCCCTCCTTCTCCCTGCACCTAAATCCCATTCCTCCTTTCTCCATCATGTATGTTTCAAGTTTTCTCTGAAATACATTCATGCTTTTGTGTTTCAACCAGAGCTTCCAGCAGTGAGTTCCACATTTTCGCTACTCTCTGCGTGAAGAAGGTTCTTTGAACTCCCTGTCAGATTTATCATTGACGATCTTATGTTTATTTTCCCTCATTTTGCCAACAAATGGAAACAGTTTATTAACATCCACCTTACTGAATCCTTTCATAGTTTTGAATAATTCTAGAAGGTGCTCTCTCACTCATTCATGGATTTCTTTGATTGATTTTCACGTTGAGAAATAAATCCTGATCAATTGCTGTGTTTTTTTTTAAAAAAGGTTTCTTTTGCTGAAATTCCAAAGTACTTCACGGACTGAGATGCTTTCTTGAGTAATGACTGTAAAACTAAACTTGGAATTGGTCAATGCCACATAGGCCCCTCCCTATTCATTAAAATGTCCTTGCTTCATGTCCCCCACCTCCTCTGCACCACGGTTTGTGGCTGAGCCTTCAGGTACTAAGCCCCTAACCTCAAGAACCCCCCAACTCTACCCGTCCAACTTGTCCTCTCTGTTTTTAAATCCCATCTCTAAACCTACCTCTTTGACCACACTATCGGCCACCTCCCCTCCCCTTGCTCACCGTCTGAAACATTGTTTGTGAAGCGCTCAGACATTTATTTTATGTAAAGCCATTGTATGAAATGCAAATTCAAATTTTCATGAATTTTTTTAGTCCTTTACTTAATGTCAAATATGCAAAACAAAAAAGTTTTTTTTGCGGAGGGAATAAATCTTTAATTCCAAAACAAAAAAACGACTATTTCATCATGAACATTGAGCAATGCTACCAAATCTCCTGAATAGTTTTATTTCCATAAACCTGTGATCCGCTGATGGGCACTGCTTTGTATAAGAAAATGGTCACATTTGTATGAAGTGTTGGAGGTAAGTCTGAGGTTATGTTTCACTGGGAAACACTGCAGACCCATTGTCACTTGGCCTTTAAATAAGGTAGTGTTGCATTGTGTTCATTCTGACGGGGTTAAAGGGGGGAATAAATAGTCTACCTTCAGAAACTGCTTTGCCAACGTTTTCTGTTGCAGCCTTACAACCAGCTTCCCCAGTTACTAATCTCTCTTGCGGTTGGTATGGCTACCAGAAACTATTGGGTAATTTCAATAATGGGATGCAAACTTGTGCTATGTATTTTTGTGATTGGATTGCAGCTGTACAAATACAGGAGTGAATTCTTGTGCAGCGCTGGAGGATGCTATGTACAAAGAGGTGAAATAAAAGGTCCGAGTTTGTGTTTGTAAAATGTATATATTATGCTGTGTTTTGCAGGAGACGTCTGCCCACCATTCTGGTGAAGCTGAGGATGGCTCAGAACCTGAAAATGGCTATAACCTTCATTGAACAAGGACGTATCCTTTCCTGTTATAGCACAACCGTTGGTTCATCAGTCCATACATTTGCATTACACTGAGGGTCATTGAAACATAATGATCCTTACATTTGACATACTGCCTTTATTAAGTTGTTGAGACGTCTCAAAGTGTTTCATAGGATATAGTGAAAAGTGGTGTGACTGTATTTTATGGGTGAATACAGCACTCAAATTTGAATTAGGCCAACAATCTCTTTTCCAGTTGTGCCATGGGATCTTTAATGTCCACCTGGGAAGGCAGATAGGACCTCAGTTTAATGTCTCATCTGAAGATCGAGCACCTCTGACATTGCAGCAAACCCTTGTTGTGCATTGAAGTGTCAGACTTGACAAGACAGGGCTTGAACCTACAATCTTCTGATTCAGAGGTGAGAGTGAGCAGGCTGATGTACAATATTACTAATTTACATGCAGGAGCCAGATAAACGACTGGGTTCAATTTTCACGTGGGCCATGATTCTAATCTAATTTTTGAGGGGGGTGTCTTCCTCTCTTGTCAAGGAAGGGCAGAGTTTCTCAATGAGTATATTGAAACACTCATCATTTTCACTACTCTCACGCAGATGGTAATTCTGAGAAATGATGCCTCATCGATACCTCAGTTCATTTCATTGTTCTTTTGTACTACTTACAAATGGAAATAACTAATTTGACTTATGTCAGCATTAACTTTTTTTTGTGTTTGTATTACTGTCCTGTTTACAGATCTGTTTCTGTCTAAACATTAACTGCAGTTTTCAAGCTGTAAACCATTAACCTCCTTTGGTAACAGAAGTGAAGAGAGTATGTGGAACCACTTTCATTAGAATTGATAGTAATACAAATCATACATAGTTTATCTTGTGCTGGAAAGCCTGTGCCCAATATTTATTTTAATATCCCTCGGCTTGACACTTATTAAGTGGGAAGCCTTCAATGGTGATGATGGAATTCAGTTGAGAGCTTCTAAATATGGCCCTAAATTGGCGGTCTTGCTCTGTTAAGCCACGTGTGGGAAACTAAAGTGCCATTTGCTGTGGTAGAGGTGATCTTATAATAATTAAAATAATAATAATCTTTGCATTTGATATCGCGCTTCTCATGTCTTCTAGACGTCACAAAGTGCCTTACAGAATATACTGTATATTTGTTGGTGAAATGCGGCAGCCAATTGCGCATAGCAGTGCCCCACAAACAGTCAAGGATTGAAGTGACCAATTTTTATTATTCTTTTTCTTGAGGGATTATTATCAGGCGTGTGGAGTAAGGAAACTTGCCCAAGGATTCGCCCTTCCTGGATTCAAACCCAAGTCTCTTGCTTCCAAGGCGAGTGCTCTAACCACTGAGCTACAGGACTCTTGAGTTTGAGGTTTGCATTGTTGTGTTTGACTGAAGGAAGTGTTATTCTACACTTGGCTTTACTATAACTGAGGTGGATGACCATGTCAAATTTGTTTTTGGAAACAAAATCCAGTTACGCGGGCTGGTATCCATTATCCTGTTGAGTACACACAATCACCAACCAAGTCAATTTAGAATTACAAAGAATCTACATGGAAACAGATCATTCAACCCAACAAGTCAGTGTATGCCGGTGTTTGTACCCATGTGCCTCCACCCATTCTAATTCCCCCCTCTGGTCCCACTTCTTTAGCCTTCCCTATATCTCTATTCCCTTTTCTTTCGTGAATACATTGAGTTTCCTATTAAATGCATTGATGCTTTCTGCTTAAAAAACAGCTTCTGGTAGTGAGCTCTACATTTTCTACGTAAAGAAATGCGCAAAATGCCATGAAGGCTTATTCTAAACTTTCACGAAAGAATAATCTTGCTCTAAAACGTGAAGGAATGGATTGCGAGTAAGCCAAATGCATTGAGCAATTTTTTTTAATGAATCTTTTCTTCTAATGCTCTAATATTAGATCAGAAAAGCCTTGCTGGTTGCGTTCAGTTTAGCCAGCAGACATGTTCAGCTTAGGAATTCCAATAGATGAGATTAAATGAGACCTTGTAGAGCTCGTACTCATGCTCACAAATGCATTACAAGCATTTTCCTGAAGCTCTGTATGAATTTCCCAGGTCATACAGGATGATCAAAACAGTTTATATCTTGGTCTGGCTGGCTCCGTGTTTAAAGGGGAGACGTTTTGTCTTGCTTCTCAGAAATCAGCGATAAAACACTTGGAAAAGCTTAGACAGTTGGATAAGATGATGTTTACGCAGAGCAGAGGTGCTCAGTTACACTGCAGCTTGTGGTGACACTGCAGGAGAGCCATCAGTTTGTGTTTAACCCATTGTCATCTGCAAACCTGCTGTGGCTTTTCCTGAGGGAATCGAAATGAGCGATCGGGAAAGTTACCTGTTGCTCAGCGCCTAACTGCAAAAGCACAATGGCTCCAGATAATGTGACATCTGTTTGGACTGTGGCCAATAGGAGCAGCAGCTTAAGACTGCAAACCATCAGAAACAGGTAATGCTGTCAGCCCTCTGGCTTGTATTCCAACACAACTAAATTAAATATTTACTTTAATAAAGAAAGAAAACAGAATCTGGAAGGATTAATTCCTTTGGTTACAAATCTAGGGGAGACGGGAGATTCAAAAACAAATGTGAGACACTTTTAAAAGACATTACAGACTTCGTCTGCATCCAACAGTTTTCAAAGATGTCTTCCTTGAATCTAACACTATGTGTTATGAGTGAAACCTGATTAACTCTCCATTGCTGTTGGTAATGTAATATTTTTTTGTCTGTTTTCTTCTCAGAAAACCAACTTTGGTTTGAAGTTACAGTTAATAACTTGCCTGCAGCTGGCACTTTGTGTGAATTTTGTGATGAGCACAGTTGTGTTTTCTCTGTGCTAAAGGGGGTTAAACCTCTTTCAGGCTGTTATGGGAGGGTGATGTGGATGGTAAACCAGTTCAGGGACAATTGTTCGGTAGGACTTTGGAGGAATTTTATCATCTGTGGAGGTTGTTAGCCATTGGATTAACACACCATTTATCAGAAGGAGAATGTAAACAGAACTCACTGGAGTTTCACACACAGCGAAAACATTGATAAGAAAATATATACATAGCTGTGAACTTTTGTGATTAGAGCTCGGTGTGGTGGTGGGGAGGGAGGCTTTGTTGTCTAGTGGTTCTGAAAAACATTACGGAAGCTCAAAGCTGTCCAATTTTTACAAAAGCACTCATCCCTCATCGCAAGGCTCTATTACTACTGATTATCCTCTGATTTCATCCAGACATTACTTTTCATGTGCATTTCAGAAATAAAAATGGTATTACCTGTATGCGGTACATGTCTGGGTGATGTCACGTACCGTTGCAGAGTTGAGGCATCACATTTGTGAGCCAGACAGGCTGGTCAATCCTGAGCAATGCCTTGTATTGCAAACCTGCCTGACTCTGCGCCAGCTCCAAGCCAATTCACTCTCAGTACACCTCCCTACCTTCTCCTCATACCATAAGAGTGAGACAAAATATTCCACTACATTTGACATAAACTCAACTAGTTTTTACTCACCCTCAAGCTTTTGTTGGATTCCACTGATTATTACTCTGTGCAAAGCGATCCGCCAATTGACTAACAACCGAGTTCTTACTTAGTGCTAGGTAAATGGAGATGTGCGGAGTAAGGAAACTTTCCCTGAGGTGTTGTCCTGCCCAGGAATTGAACGTGGGTCCTCTCGCGTACGTTTCATCGACATGCTAAAGCATTATATGAAATGCAAGGTTTATCAACGAAATTGATTGTATTTCAGATAGCAAATTTGCAGATTATAAGTTGTGAATTTGTGTAGGTTCAGTGCTTAAGGGAGCCTGCAAATACTGTAGCATTCAGTATTCAAAGGGTTACAATCTCATTCAGTTGTTCCAGGTTGCCTGGCAATTGGATTTCTTCCCTCCCTTACAAAGTCATAATGCTTTCCTTGTTGGATCCTTTGTTTGCTCAGACAATATTACAATGTGCACGTCTGTAGTGACTTCTCACAGCTGTTGTAGAATCTCATCATTTAGTTAATCACTGTTTATTGTTGAAGTCTGCAAATACCTTCATATTTGACTGCGCGGTATGCAATGCTATTTGTCCCTTTTCACTCACACAGCGTGAGGGCAGCACACACCCATAGCCCTACCTTAACAGATGAGCTGGAGGTCCACTGATGGCTTAATTGGTAAACCCACTGCCCAGTGTGAAACGGAGCCACATTAATCTGGAAAGCCTGAGTTCAGTGCTGAGTTGGAACATTTCAGCCAGGGCAGCAGTAATTGCGATTGGCCTCTTTGCTCACTGCACTGGGGGAGCTTTATTTTGCTTTTTCTTTGTTTTTTTGTGCTTTTAAAATTGTGCTGGCAGATCATTGCTGGCATAGTTATAATAATAATAATAATCCTTGCTATAGCACCTTATTGGGTTGTTAAACATTAAATATTAAATAAAAATGTTGGTTCACATCATTGATAAGTTGTCTCAAAGTGTTTCACAAGATATATTGTAAAGTGGATTGACTGTGTATTTTTTAACTGAAAAGTGGCAGCCAATTGCACAGAGCAGTTAATAATAGAAGTGCAAAGTGTCCAGTGGTCTTCAAACCACTGTTTTTCAACTGAATTAATGAAAATATTTTGTCAAATGTTACAAGCCACGTAGCACTTGTCTTTGATCCGAGTGGGTTTAAGCCCCACATCAGAACTTGGGCTCATGTTTCAGGCTGACATTTCAGTGCAGCGCTGCATCGTTGGAGGTGTCGAACCTTGGATAAGACGTTAAACCAGGGTCCCATCTGCCTGTTCAGGTGGATGCTAAAGATCCCATGACATTGTCTGAAAAGAGAAAGGTTTCTCCTAGTATCAACAGTCATCCAGATACAATGGTAATTTAGTTATGACTGTTTCTAGGACATTAGTATTTGAGTAAATTAGCTGGTGTTTACCTACAAATAGTTACTGCAGTTGACAGTAACTACCTTTGAACTGTTTTGAGATGTTTTGA